AAAAAACAGTTTAAATATTTTTTGTCTGTCTGTTCCGAGTAATCTTCAAAACTGCTGGGACCGATTTTGATAATATTTTACAACAAGTAGCTGTCTATATACGGAGTAACTTAGGCTATTTTCTCTCTCAGAAAAACCCTATTTTTTTTGGCTGGTCCGGGAATCGAACTCTCTAAAACAGCGCAATTCCACACGAACGAAGTCGCGGGCACCAGCTCGTAATAAATAAATTTGCCTAAATCTTTGCATTGCACCCGGACCAAGTGATTTGAAGGTCCTAAACATATCTTTCAAATGCAAAAGTCAGGTTTTTGTTTGATTGATAGCTATCACGGCTTAACTAGGCAACTGATCATTAAATTTTACATTCACCATGTCACGGGTACAGACAGATATAAGATCCCTTCCCATCTCTCCACCTTCCTCTCTATCTTTCCACTTGGATAATTGCCACTCCACCACTGTGCGCTTTTCAACACCAAGGATGTCACTCACGCATTGAAGGAGATGGGTAACCCACGACAAAGGAGAGCGGCAGATACCTACTCAATTTTAATGAAGTTCAAATCAAACCACGTACCGGTACGTTCCCGTGTAGGATTTCAATTGTGAAGATGTCGCAACCATGTTCAAATTATAACAAAGGTAAAAAAATAGTTTATTTGTTTTTAGTTCCTATTGTTTCATAAGACAATCGACAACAACAATAGGACAAACTTATAAATAAAACACTATGTTGTTTCAGAATGAGCATCAATTCTCGTGTTGGTGAACATTTTTATCACATACTGTGGTCAGAAGCGCTTAGACGAGATCTACCTGTAAAACGTAAATAGCATACAATACCTGACTCGAATAAAAAATATACAGAAACAAATGGCACATCATGTGATAGAATTTTAGTTTCATGAACATTTTCATTTTGTAGATTTACAACTCTGACTGCACGGATGGCGTAGTGTTTTAAGCGGTCGCCACGCCGCTTCCTACTACGCCGAGTTTTGTGGGTTCAAACCCCACATGGGACGACACTTTGTGTGATTCACAAATTGTTGTTCTGAGTCTGGGTGTTCTTTGTGTCCGTTTCATCTACGTTTGTAAAGTCCCCCGCAGGAGATATCCCTAATGCGAGTTGTCTTTAAAAAAAAAACATGATTTATCCGTGTGGTGACGGATTAGGAATACGGAGTGTCGTCACCCCTATTCAACCCGTGGGTGTCGTAAGAGCCAACTAAGGGAGCAAACTACGTAGGACAACAGCACTGCAAAGAAAAGGAAAACTGAACACAAACCCTATACCAACCGGTATGGCCAGCGTGGTATAGTAGCCCATAACCTCTTTTCCAAAGAGAGGCCGATGTCCAGCAGTGGACTATTAAAAGCTGTTCATGTGATGATGATGATGTGAATCATGATTAGAAGAAATATAATAAAACAGTAACATTCACGTGGTCATAGAACACAATAAAGTGGCGAGGGTAAGTTATTCCTTCCAACGGTCTCTGCTGTGTAGCTGATCTGCTCGCTACTACTTACAATCCCCAGTCCATCCGTACATGCTAGACACCTATTCTTTTATTTATTTATTACAACTATGGAGGATTTATAGCTATGATGATCACAATAAAAACAGTCAAAAAAACAGATAGCCAATAACAAATCCTCACTTATATAAATCAGAGATAAGTTACAGTGCATAAGACAATACAGAATATGATCAAGAGGTATTATATAAGTTACAGGCACAGATCACTTACAAATTACACCCAATTTTTTTACCCTTTATTCTTATCTAGCGTTCTCTTTTTAATATATCCACAACATACAGTCTTCTTCGAATTCTCGAAATGGCTAGCTGACGGCAAAAGGCATGCCGTTATGACATGGCTCTAAAACAACTTTAAATATAGGTATTTAATACGCTTCGGGCTTCATTTTCGGGGACACAAGCCTTTGTATGTAGGTATGCTTAGAAGAATATAGATTTCTGATAGAAGAAGACCAAGGCTATAAAGCGCTGTAATAAAACAATTGTTTGTATAACCAATTACTATCAAACCCTTCTTTATCTTGGACATATAAAAACTGTCCTGTTGTAAAAACTATTTGTAATATTTAGATTGTCGGTACTAAAGGAAAAATCATTAAATCGTTTTAATTTATAGATAGTTTACTTTATATGTTATCAATCCGATATATTAATTATGATAAGTTCGAATTCCATGATAAGAATATACCGTCAGCTAAAACATATATTTACTTTTAGCAATACGAGAATCGATAGCCTCCATTCAATTATAATAATAATAACCTCACACATCTCACACACGGCCGTCTGATCCCAAACTAGGCAGAGCCTGTGCTATGGTAACCAGACTGCTGATAAACATACTTATATATTTTTAAATACATACATATTATAGATAAATTACATTCAGACACAGAACAAATGACATCACACAATATTTGTCCTGGGTGGGAATCGAACCCACGACCTCCCGGCTTAGCAGTCAGGGCCACTAACCACTAGACCAACAGGCCCGTCCGTATAATAATGTTTTACTAATAAGTATTTATTTCTATGTAGGTATATTATATCATTTTTATTGATAAAGTGTAACTATGCAGTGTAAGTATATACGAGTATGTGTGAATATCAATGATCACGACGTAAGTGCTTTTGTTTTTGAGTCTAACATTGAAAGTAAAAAGAGGAAAGGCATCGAAAAACAATAACCGTGTGGTGACGGATTAATAATACGGAGTAAGGCAGCAAACTACGCAGGACAAAAGCACTGCAATCAGAAGAAAATCTTGACACAAATCCTATACCAACCCGAGTGGCCAGCGTGGTATATTAGCCCAAAATCTCCTTTCTAAGGAGTGAGATGATGTACTCACAAAAAGCACTCAATTTTGTAAGATAAGGTACCGACCAGCCAGCTTTTTAGGCATATTTGTGTAGTTAACCGTATATATATATATGTGTGCCTCCCTAGTAGTACCTACTGCTACAAGTTAAAATGTACCGATCGTGAAACAGTGCACGCGGGTTCAATGACTGATAAGTCACTCCGCCTGCGACTATGAGTGGTGCAACATAATGGTGGATATTTATATCGGGACTTAGATATGTTCCCCACATATGTTCAACTTAACAACAATCTACCAAGTACTTAAATATGTATGTATGTTCCTATAGTCAGTTATATATAGCTGGCATATTCTCGTGTAAACAAAAGCGGAAGACACGGCACCTCGCTTAGACATTCACACGCAAAGAGTCTATTGTCATGATAGCAGCTTACAGCCTTTTTGTGTCACGTACCAAACGATTTAGGATCGATTTTACTTTTAAGAATTCACATAAACAAGTAAACACTTCCTTTGAGACATTTGTTGTGAGGGATTATTACGCGTAGAGAATTCTTTGTATCCCTTTCTAAGTAAATGTTGAATACTTATTCGCTCACGGCCGAATTTTCAAATTTAGAAGTAGAAAGAGCTAACTTTTTTTTAATAAGTATTGTGTTACAAATTTAAAATAAATATAAAAACAGCGCCACAAATCCACTATATGTATATATAGACCTAATGACAGTTATACAGGCTATTTATAGCTCGACCAATATCATATATAGGTTTAAAATTTAATGAATCATTGTCGATTTCGACCGCAGGTACAATATAGTCGTCTTATTTACATACTCAGTGATTTCGACTTGCTCTTCTTCAAAGGGTTCGCATATTCGAACTGGCAAACAGCTCCACGACCGTTGAACTGTCTTCTGAATCGACAAATCAAGAAATATACATATAACGGTCTAAGGGTATAATATTGACTATTACGAAATTTTGATGTTACCTGCAGAAGACGAATAACGATCTTACAAGACTAAATGGCCGCACCTAAAATTATGGTCCTAGTCTGTTATATCATTACGTGTTTTAGTTATGTGTGTGTGTGTTAATGTACTTTTATACAAATCTAGCATCACTCATAATGCACGATTATTGGTTGAAATCGATTAATAATCATTATCTCACTTTCTCGATGCCAACCTTTTACACTCGAATAATCGTCGTGTACTTCTCTGGGTGACAAATTCACTGTAATCCGTTTATACACTAAATGTAATAGTGAATAACTCATCGATGTACCTATTTAATAATAATAACTTCACACATCACACACAACGGCCATCTGATCCCAAACTAGGCAGAGCCTGTGTTATGGTAACCAGACTGCTGATAAAAATACTAATTTATTTTTAAATACATACATATTATACATAAATTACACTCAGACACAGAACAAATGACCGTGCTCATCACGCAATATTTGTCCTGGGTGGGAATCGAACCCACGACCTCCGGCTTAGCAGTCAGGCCCAATAACCACTAGACAAACAGACCCGTCATTAAATAAAAATAAAATGTACACCTGAACTATTTATTAGACATTAACGCTGTTTTACATCAACAACAACGTAATCATCTTTTACGATGTATTCTACTACAACAAAGACTAGAAAATGCATGAATGAGTTGGAAAAGTTATAAATATAATAAAAGTAACGTGTTACACAGTTCTTACTCGGCGTCGGTGGGACCAAAGAGCCTGTACTAAATAACCCGTATCCGGCAATTAGGGCGACGCGTCGCTCACCCGCCCACTTGTTGCCAGCTGCCGAGCACGCAATATTTTCACGCGTACGCACAGATTACCACGCCACTATATTGCCGACGCACGCAAACCTTCCACGGTACCCTTTACCCGTGTACTGTTCCATTAATTAAACTCTAAACTTGCATACACTTTCTCATACCACGCAGTTTTGACTTCATACATATAAATATAATTGTCCATCTTCTAAACTCAAGATTAGACAAGAAAAAAAGAAAAAAAATTTATACGATTACCAGAATGTGGTCATGCAGATAATGCTGTCTATCCGAAAATTGGTAAAGAACAAAGACAAAAATTTAGAGACACTTACCCTGGAATCATAGACCCTAGTGAGAATATCGTAGCGTATCGAGCCAAGGAAGATGACAGCCTGCGCCGCACAGCCTCGTCCACGAGCCACCAGCTCCACGCACACCATCTCACCATCGCGTACCACTATGTCGCAAAATACCTGGACAGGACAGAAATTTGATTACATTTACAAGACATATTAGCAGAAATGATTTATACATAATCATTTCTAAAAGAAAGTTCTGTCTGCAGCCGTCATCATCTTCCTACACTTGCAGAGGGTTTAAGCTGGTTTATCTTACTTAGAGCCCGATAGATATCTGAATCCAACCCTTCATGAAAATGTTATGGTTCTCAAATGGTAACAATAGAAGATGGTATTTTCTTTTTTATATTTTACATGAAACGGAAATATTTTTTTTTGAAGTCAAATCAATTTTTGCGACTGGAAATGAAGGGTTTTCTTGTCCGTCGTTCGTGTAATTATTTCAACCAAAAATTCAAATCTTCCCAAACTGGAAATTACATCTGCATTTTTTGACAGGTCGACTTTTGTCAGTTGACAAATATTCGGCATCCCGCTAATGTCGAGTGCTAAGCTATTGCGATTTCTTATCGTACGTGTTATGCTCAGAAATTTTATTGGGTACATAAAAAACATTATGGCTTTATTTGACGAAATAATGTTCCGTCAGTCACGTTAACTAAATGAACAATAAAATAATGTACATGTTTTAAATGGATTTGGTTTGGATAAAAATTTGCGTCAAAAATTCATACATTTTTTTACGTGGAGATTCCACTTCACTTTATACCGGTCATCTCCTTAAATAATACAGTTGTATTTCTAAAGAGGCGCCTGAGGGAGGCGACGAGGTAAAGGCTTGTTAAAATATCGCATAATTAAAATATTAGGTCTTTACCTATGAAATTGCCGTTTTGTATGCAATAAGTGAAAGTACTTATTTTTTCAAACTTTTTTATTTCTGTTATTCGAAGTAATCACCCATGCAATCGACGCATCTTTGCCAACGCATTGGCAGTTTATTGATGCCCTTCTTGTAAAAATCAGCTGGACGGGAGGCAACAAACTCTTCAAAGGCATTTTGTACTGCCTCTCGGGAATTGAATTTTTTACCCACTAAAAAGTTGTCTAAATTTTGGAAAAAGTAATAGTCGGTAGGTGCAAGGATTTTTTTTATTATGTTATTCTCAATAATGCTTCTGAAAACTGTTGCTTATAATTTACAGCCAACTGCTCCATTTCAGAAGGAAATGTATATTTTTCCCAACCAAGTATTCAAAATTAATACTTTGCCCAGTTTTAAATGACTGTCCTGACAAATATATGTACTCACGAGTTTGGCAAGTAACGTTCAAAGTTGGCGCATTTAATAATGATTCGAAAATGGTATAACACTTGCAAGATTGTTTGTTTAATTATGATTAAAAGAATTTTTTTTTTGGAGAAACCCAGTTGTAAATTAGTTTTCCTTACCTGTCTAAAGTGTTTTTTGTAACCCAAGGCTTTTCTCAAGCCTGTTACTCAAGATTCTGGTCTTGAAAAGGGACTAAGTAATAATTACTTATTTTAATTGTAACACCTGAATTTATTACACTTAGATACAAAAAATACTTTGACTTTCACTTGAAACCCATTAGTACAGTTATAACAATTCAAACAGCGTTCTATGCAGATATTTTTCTAGAACCCAGCTGACATAATCACAAAAAGCTTGAGTAATGCATCCTGCGACACAAGGATATAATATACATATATAAATAGTACGAAGTTTATGAATTTGGCTATCAGTGGCTATACATACGAGTATGTGTTTAAAGTCAGAAATATTCTCAATAAGTTAGGTGTTTAACCTCCGAGAAACTAAGGGGTTAGGGGATAGATAAAACAATAATAAACAGGTTTCCCACTTGGAGGTACGCTCCAAGTCTGTTTAATGGACAAAAAAAAAAATTGAACATAGTGTGGTAGTATTTCACTCGATGCCGATCTTAACATCGCGATGTACAGAATGATCGATGTAGACCACGCCATCTTTCGATCAATTATATTACCATAAGTGAACAACAATTAATAAATTAAGATCATAATAGATGGCGTAACATGTTCCCAAAAATGAAAACATTTTAAATTATTATATGACATATGTAATAAATTGAATAGGAAAACTCCAAGGAATAATAATATTATTCCGCGTAAATCCTTTAAGTCAATAACCTAATATATTACGTTATCCTTATTAATTACGTTAACATATTTCCCTAGTGCGAGATTTCTGTATAACAATAACCAATGAACTCGTCACAACAGTTCGTTACATCTGTCGCATGTTGTTAAAAATTAATAGCAATGCCCTTTTGTTGGCGCTGCATTATCTGTCTGACTGATTGATTCACTGACTGATCAATCAAAGTGTACTAAGAAAGGATTTTAAAAATTACACCCCTAAGGGTGCAAAATGGAGGTTGGAAATTTATATGAAACTTCGTTGTTTTTTGGTAGTAGCGTTTTCAAACTCTATCTACTCGTATACTAATATTATAAAGAGGTAAAGTTTGTTCGTTTGTATGTTCGCGGTTATCTCATTAACTACTGGTTCGATTTGATAAATTATTTAAGTGTTGGATAGTCCTTTTATCGAAGAAGGATATAGGCTATATAACATCATGTTACGACGAATAGGAGGAGCCAAGGATCAATGAAAGATGTTGCGAAAACGGGGAAAAATTATTCCTTTTGATACTCGTAGAAGCCGACAAAGTTGCGCACTAGATTTTATTAGGGTTCCGTACGCAAAGGGTAAACCGGGACCCTATTACTAAGACTTCGCTGTACGTCCGTCCGTCTGTCTGTCTGTCTATCCGTCTGTCACCAGGCTGTATCTCATGAACCGTGATATTTAGACGGTTGAAATTTTCATAGATGATGTATTTCTGTTGCCGCTACAGACTAAAATAAACATTTAAGTGGGGCTCCCATACAAAAGACATGATTATTTTGCCTGCCTGCCCCCTCTGACATTAAAAAAAAGGTAGCAGACACCCTGAATTAACACATAGGCTTTATTCCGTAAAATGTAGTGTTCCCGGAGGATAAACACCTAACTAGTACATACAAATTATCGTTAAATTACACTCGAGACAGAACAAATGATCGTGTTCATCACACAATTATTTGTCCTGGGTGGGAATCGAACCCACACCCTCTGGTTTGTCCGTCAAAATTAATAATCACTAAACCAACAGACCAATCAAGTACGTTCATCTGAACAATCAACAAAATTTTCATACACCATTAGCCTCAACATGCTCACGAATTCATGACCGACGAAAGTTGGGCACAACGACAGTTCTAGCTGCGATAAGCGTCTTAACATTAATAAACGGGGGTTTAGATAAGTGACAAGGATTAACTGCCGTGAATTATTGATAAAGTAACGAAACATATAAAGTAATGTATGTCGCCGCATTTATAAATGGATGATTAAATTATTAACATTATTCTAAATTATTATTTACTAAGCGCAGATTGATTCAATAACAAACAGTTCTAGATTTGATAAACAATTGTAACTAGAGTTTAACTATGACATTGCATAGAATTATGATGAATTATTCAATAATGTGGATATTTGTAAAACCACGTGTTAATGTGACGTAAACTTTAGAATGGCGGGGAGTGCATTATAAAAGCCAGCGATTTGAGTCGAGAGGCTCAGTTTGCTGGCGACTCCGAAAGGAGTAACATTGTAAAACTATGTTAATTTGATTTATAATAAATAGATACTGTGATGTTTAATTTACTTGCTTTTTATTGCTGAACCTCTTCATACAAATATTTTACTAGCTTGCATATGCGTATTGTAAATAGTTACAAAAAAAAGAAGTATTAAACTCTATGATAATGTAAGCAGAACCGATGGCCCCAACTGGGTCAGCGTGTCTGCCCTTTTTTTTAATAACCCCTCTTTTCTTTATTCGACATGTACGAGTTAATTTTATTTTATGGTATAAGGAAGGCAAAAGAGCAGAGTCTGATGGTGAGTGACTACCTACACAAGTGCCTCTCACACAAGGCCGTCTGAGCAACCAGACTGCTGATAAACATACTTAAATATTTCTTAATACATATTTGTACGTCATTCTATTTCAATGTCTCTTAAATGAACCCCAATAAACGGTACAATTAACTTTGATTACTTGAGATGAATGTAAAAAAAAAGATCAATAACACGACCATTTAAACGCTGGCATTTTAGCGAGTATGTTTAGCTATGGTCATAGATACCTATATAATACATATGGCTACACATTCCATACAATATGACACCATAATAAAAATAACAACTGGTCGGTATGTGTAGTTTATGTGTGGCTTAGTTTGTTTAGAACATATTTCTTGAACATTCGCTGCGATAGGACGGTTTTATGCATGTCATTTTGAGATAAGTACTACATATCCGTACATAATACATAGTAATACACATAGTTATGATATGTTCATTCTTCGTTATTACTTCACGAACTTCTGATACAGTCAGTCAGATATGCCCAGCATCCGTATCACCGCTTACACCTTCCCATTCCAGACTTGCGGTATTCTTTACCTTAAGTCACTGGCACTATCCGCTTTAATTCAACCCCCATTAACCTTAACCATAGGTTAGTCTGAAAACGATTTACATTCCCTAAGAGGGTTAGTGTTAAGCAGGCGACAGGCTGTGAAAGAAATCAGCTAAAACCTTTGCAAGGGTGAACACTATATTATAATATTCTACCCCATTCACACAACGCCATCGAGTCCCAAACTAGGCAGAGCTTGTACTATGGCTACTAGACAACTGATATTAATACATATATACTTTTTTGTAAATATATATACATATTATACATAGAAAAACCCACACCAAACCAAACAAATGTTCATGCATACAAATGTTTGACTTAGAATCGAACAAGAGACCTTTGGAATAGCAGTCCGTTACACAAACCACTATGCCATCCGGTCGCCAATTACATTACATTACAACACAAATTAAAGATAATCGGTGTATACAAAAACGCCTAAACGGACCTAGATGAAATTGTCACAGGGACAGATTTTAGTCTGAAATAGCACATAAGGTTTTATCAAAGAAA